ACGCTCCTGTAGGGGGGGGGAGGTTCAGCCCCAATGAACCCCTGTATACGCTCCTGTAGGGGAGGGGGGGGGGTCAGCCCCAATAGACCCCCTCTGTAGAACTATATAAAAGGGTTATTACCCACAAAGGATGAGACTTGAATGACCACCCGAAACTCTTCAAATATAATTATATAAAGTTTATTTTAATTTTCTGCATTAAATATAGATTTTAAATGACATATTTAATAATACGGCAAACAAGTTTGAATCTGCAGGAAACCTTTAATGAAAGAATTCTATTTCGTGGATAACTCTGTATATGAACAATATAATTCTACAGAACCCCCTCTATGTATAAAAGATAATTGCACTTAATCAGGACACACATAAACATCAATTTATCTTATAAAGTTTTACCAATGTCCTACAGGCTTGCTCCTAATTATTCTACCACGGTAAACTTAATCAATTTATCTACAGAGAAGAAAATTCCAGTTTAAAAAGTAAATAAATGTATATAATGTATGTACTATGCACACTCTCAGGATAAGATTTGTATGGAACCTCTATTCAAATCTATACGTAAAATAATGTTGGTTTAAAACAATTTCTGGGTAGAGCACCACGGCTAGGACAGGCTAGGGGGCTCAAGCGCGACGACTAAGACAGGCAAAGTGGGTAAGCGCTTAGGACAGGCTAGGGACCTAAAAACGTAATGTTTTGCGTACAAAAGTCTTAAAATGGGCGGTTAAGTGGGGGTTAAAAAAAGTTTACTAGGAAATATTATATATAGATAGATTAACAGAAAGATTGATAGATAAATTGATAAATAAATAAATAGATAGATAGATAGACAAATAGATAGATAGATAGATTGAGGCTGGTTTAAAATCAATACAAAGTAACAACTTAGCTATGAATATTTTATCATTAGACGACCCGTAGCTTAGGACTCTTAATATCCAATATACAAGCTTTATACTATAGAATCCTAGACTCTGAGTGTACCGTGTACCTAGACCCATATTAGGTATATACCTAGACACCATTATAAAATATAAACCCGGCTCATGATATTTCCTTTATTTGGTATATCCTCGCCATTATCCATGGCTGTACATAAGGTGTTCACTTACACTTATTTGTCGGTGAGTAAAAGTGTAAAAATTCAAGTTTAAAAATTGTTTAAAGGAACTATTAGTGCAATTTAAAGTGACCCTCCGTGCAAAAATGGCAATAATGCCTGATTCACGATAGTACTCTTGTTGTCTGATCAAGTATCAATTGGATGTCAATGTTTATAAGTTTAAAATTTTCAATTGGAGGTTCTCTACGAACTACGAAAATGAAAGTTCCAGATTATTGATCAGATAAAGGTTTCAAGAGTACCGTTGTGAATCGGGCATTGCTATCTAGCTTTGCATGAAGGGTTACTTGAAATTTCGCTTACACAACAATTAAGTATAGACCTTACGCGGCGCTTGAATTCAAATTGAAGAAACTAAACCCATTTGCTCCTGTTAGTATGTATATCGCTCACTCTTCCCCAAACTTAACTCTAATTAAAGTGAGAAGATGAGAAAAAGATGAATTTTGATAAAGTCCAGACCGTGTTCAGTGCTTGTGACGTCATATCTAAAAAATTTAGAAGATCCTACATTGATTTCTTTCGCCAGTATAGAGTAGAAGAAAACAGTGTATAATATAGTTGGTTTTAAATTATTTATGTATAAAGCAGAAGAAAAATATTATTCTTAAAGGGACTTGCGACGTTATTTCGAGTGACCCTCCGTTTTCAAAATAACATACCTGACTCACGACGATACCCTTTAAATCTTTACCGTAGTAACACTGATCGAGGAAGATATTGTAATTTTTTCTCTCTTGAAATATTTTTAACAAAAAGTAAATTTTGGAAAGGGAAACCGCAGATCAAAATGATTAGTTTTCAGAATTTAGGAAACCGTGGAAAGTTCCATCAATTAAGCTCAAACGTAGGTTTGTTGGGAACCGTTAGGAATTGAACATGTAACTCTCAAAATTAAAGATCAGTCTAAATTTCGTCGAGAGTCCCTGTAAAAAAACACATTTTCTCCGTCTTTATATAAATAATTTACAAATAACTAGAAAATGAAAAACGTTTTTGGCGAATATCAACATTAAAGGTTTTTATTGTATTTACACTTTATCTCTTGGTATTCCTGCCAAATGATTAAATACTCTAAGAATTATGTATAAACAAATTGTATTAAATCAACATTAATCCAGCCGCAACCCCCTGAGATATTTATGTTTAATCTTGCAACAGTAATTTATCCAATAAAACAATAAAAATAAAGAAGAATTCCGCAGGTTTACAAAAGAATTGCAAATTCAACAAAAATGAAGTTAAAGGATTTAGAAAGAGCAGTACGATGGTTTAAAATTTAGGTAACGTAGATCTAGGTTGTGTATAGATCTAGGTTGTGTATAGATCTAGGTTGTGTATAGATCTAGGTTGGATAAATATGTGAATCTAGGTAAGATAGATCTAGGTTGGATATAGACAGTGGCGCAACTAGGGGGGGGAGCACCCGAGTTTCGCCCCTCCCCCCCTCAACAGATTTCGACCCCCACCTCACTTGACTTCAGCATTATCATGATTGTGGACCATCTTTCATCAAATTTTGCCAATTAAGAAAAAGCACATGAACCTTTCTTTGGCGTTTCGCGCTTCAGTTCTAATAGAATTTCTATCTATTTCCTCGTTTACGACTTAAAGAAAATCAGTCATTCTTTATTTATCCCATTTAAAAAACCTGTAAAATTGTTAGTTCTCATGAGTATTACAATACATAGATCATTTAAGGTTACACAAAACTTGACTACCTAAGAAGAATACAAGAAATATGATTAGGATTATATCGGACTATTAGGACTTTTTCAGACTAACAGACACTAGGAAATACATGAAACAAAATACTAGAAGAGCAGAAATGTTTCAGTCAATCCTTCTAAAATAAAAAAATGCTGTTTTTTAACTCTAAATCCTAAAAACAGTGCTTTCTTTTAGAGTTTTTTTCGACAGGTCGGATATATTTTGACAGGTCGGATGTATTTTGACAGGTCGGATATATTTCGACAGGTCGGATATAAAATCTGGGAATTGTTTTCCATGGATGTTTCAGGGTTTTACCACTCTCCATTAAAATCCATTATTTCTTGATCATGAATAAACAGGTTTATAATGGATACAGGTACTGGACGGATACATGTATAGGACGGATTCATGTATTGTGGATACAGATATAGGACGGATACAGGTACAGAACGGATACAGGTACAGGACGGATACAGGTACAGGACGGATACATGTATAGAGCGGATACAGGTATAGGAGGGATACATGCATGTATAGGACAGATACAGGTACAGAACGGATACATGTATAGAACGGATAGAGGTATAGGTAGGATACATACATGTACAGGACGGATATATGAATAGGACGGAAATAGGTATAGGACGGATACAGGTATAGGACGGATACAGGTATAAGATGGAAGTATCCGCAAGTTTTGAAGGTTTTTAAGAAAAGAACTATTTTAGTGATAAAGTGAATGGTATAAGATACAAAAGTTTAGGATGCAGGTATAAATAGATTAAATACAATATGTAAACAAAAATATTATGAAATATTTTAGTTAATCAACAGATTTACTAGGAGAAGGGTTAGAAAGAGAAAAGAAAAATATCGGCCGTGTTGATTGGACTACAACTAGATTTTGTCCTAAACCCCANACCTCTCCCTACCGTGCCAAAAACTGAAACTTTACCATTTTAACTATTAATACATAAAGTAGTGAAAACTAAATATTTTAAAACATTGATTTTTTAATCAACTTTTTCATCCAGGATGAAAAGCTAATTTTAGGTAAATGTTTAGGCATTTAAAGAGAACATATTTAATTAAATTTTATCTGCTCTTTTTCGTGATATCACATTGGTGTCCTTTAAATCTTTTTATATTAAAACATATTTTTGTATTACTAAGCCAGACAAACAAGAAAATAGTTGAGATATATTCAGTTGCAAACATGTAAAACTTACAAGGGTGCCGTAGTGAATTGTTTATGCCATTCTTTATTCAAGAAACTGTTTGAAAGGAATTGAGTCTTTGCCACATCCTCTGATTTTCTAATCTCTATATCTCTGTAACCCAATGCCGTAGACCTTAGATATTTCAAACTTTGAATTCTATTAGATGAAAAAATCTAAGTTTGAAATATCAGAGGTTTACACCATCAGGGGGAAAAAATATAGGTATTAGAAAATCAGAGTTTGTTACAAAGACTCAATTCCTTTGCGTAAATAATAGAGTTTTAACAAATTTAATATTTCCAGCCTATGAATTTACATAAACAAGTTAATTACACTGTAAAACACAAAATATAAAATCAAACTTTCAAAGACCGCAAAGGATTATTTTAATCTAGAATTTACTTTTTCTAAACATTAGAGTACTATGGTCATGGTTTCAAAAGAAAACAAAAAATTTGAAAGTTATTGACACCCTCCCCCACCCCCACGAATATCCACATCACAAAATTGCAAGTTTCGTTTCTGGTGCAGGCTTCATTCTTCATAAAAATCTTGAGATTCAAGAAAACTGTATTAACAAGCGCTTCGTGCCAATTCACAACAGAATCCTTGAAACCTTTATGTGATCAATAATGCTAGAGATATTAATGTTTTTCTAGACTTAAACTGTTGAATTACCATGTGTTTTCCTGCGGTTACTTTTGAAGCAAACCCACAATGGAAAAAAATTATTTTCTTAAATTAGTTACCGGGCATCGTCATCTTTGCATGGAAGGTCACGTGAAATTACGCTTACCAGTCCCTTTAAATGTTAATATATCTGTCAGTTTTTTCTTCGTTCATGAAAAGAGCGAAAGCTTTTAAACATTTCGCATGAGTTAATAATACTATCTGATGCATTTTTAAAACCAATCCTGTGATCATGTCATGAGGTTCAACAATAGGTCTGGCCTGATTAATTAAGCAGTTTTGACCTTTATTCCATCCGAACATAGAAAAAACCCGAGGCACATCGATCCAGATTTATATGAAAAGCTTTTTCTGGACCGGATCCACTTTGAAGTGTTTGATTTTACCTTACTAACTCACAAATAGTTTTTTAGCCATTAATAAGTACATTTATGCTTTTGAAGCTTGAAATTAGTTGGCAAAGGAACTGAGTATTTGCCACACATCCAAATTTTCTAGTCCCTAATTTGTTTGCAACCCAATGTCGTAAACCTTTGATATTTCAGTTAGATAATTTGATCTAACAGAAATCATAGTTTAAAATATCTAAGGCCTACGACATTGGGTTGCAAAGAAATAGAGACTAGAAAATTTGAGTTTGTGACAAAAAATCAATTCCTTTCCTAACTATTTTTGCGTAAGAGCGCAACCTTTGAATCACTGTGACCGCCACCGTGGCCCTTCTTGCAAATTGCAAAAGCATATCGAGCTAAGGGGGCAACACAAACTAAAAATGACGGTAATTTATCAATTTTATTTAGTTTTAAAGCACAATCTGTTTAATTAAAACTTCATACTTTATAATTGTCACAAGTATAACATTAACTTAAAACATTTTATAGAGAAACTCAAATATTCAAGGAAAATTAAAAAATATTTTGTTAAACTTAACTACCCTCAATCTACCCCCTCCCTCCCCTCCCTCTTCAGTTAGAGTTCTTCTATCTGAAGAGTTTTATCCTATAGATTGAAATATTAAATTCAAGATTGGTTTTATCTGATGATACACTGAACCTGAACCCGGTTCCAGCCCATATCCAACCATAAACATATCTCAATACTTACCCCCCACCCTCCCCTTCATCCCCTCCCCTCCTCTCTCACATGATTAACTTAATAAAGTATTATATAATTATAAATATATTGACTAAAGACAATTCTAGTTTTGTTGCTTTAACAATAATATGGAGGCCGGGGAGTACTGGGCTTATATTCACCTGTAGCCTTACTCTACTATACACCCTCCTCCCGCACTCCTCTACCTCCTAGTCCTCCCTCCCAGCCCTCCTAGAGGGAGGTACCTCCCCGCCAGAAGGCGTGGCTAGGGCTGGGGAGTAAACATAAGGCGGGGACTGCTCCCCTGTGTAGTATAAAGGGAGGGAGTATCACGTATAATCATAACATATAAAGGCTGAGACGGTTACTCTACGAGGCTCTGTTTGATACTGGATACAGTGGAGGGAGGCAGTTTAGCCTTCCCTTTCCCAGTACCTACAGGGTACCACACCTACCCACCTACCCTGTGCCCAGTACTTGTATAGGGTACCACACCTACCTTAATGCCCACCCATGGCCCATTATGACAGGATACCATGCCTTAATTCTAAATGTCCAATCCTTCTCTAAATGTCCGATCCTTCTCTAACTATGCTACCTTTTCCAATCATTCGTAGAGAGCATTCACGAACACTGGACTCAGGATTCATTTGGGGGTTCCCACCTTCTTAGTTTCTTTTCCCAATTCTTATAGAGATTGGTAGCCATCCCCCTCACGTTATTGATGTTATGTACTTTCCCAAAGGCATTTTCCCAAGTGGAAACTTCCCAAGAGTATTTTCCCAAGTGGAAATTTCCAAAATGTGTATTATCCCAAGCGACAACTTCCTAAATGTGCAATATCCCAAGTGGCAACTTCCCAAGTATGTCCTAGCCGCAGCGCTCAACCCCAGCCTGTTCTAGCCGAGGCGATCGGCACCCTAGCCCATCCTAGCCACAGTACTCGGACCCCATTGTAGCCTGCGGCGCCTTAGGAGGGCCTAACCTAACCTTTGGGAAGTTGCCGCTTGGGAATTTGGACATTTAGGAAGTTGCCACTTGGGAAATCTATATATTATACTTGGGAAAGTACCTTTGAGAAAGTACCTAATACTTATTTATTCACTAAAGTACAAATGTCCCAAAACTCTGTACTTAGTTCCTAACTGCACACCTATGTAATGTGTCCCTCCCCCTCTCCCCAATAATTTTCATTTAAGGGAGTAACGGAGGGGGAGGGGTGGTCTTTATTCTGCGTAGATTTTAATTTAAGAAATCCGACAAAAAATCATGTAAACAAATTACATGACATAATATTTCTTAACAATAAAATTGATATCTACAAAACTGTCTGACTCCATTCGTGAAACCGGGTTTCCGAAACTGGGTTTCATTACGATATTCTGTTTTAAGTTTCGGGCTCTGTAATTATTTCCTGAATATTCTTATAAAGTAGATATCTTGACGTTGCTTTATAATATACTTGTTGTCGTTGATTTCTAAATTAAACTGAAGAAAAGAAAGTCAAGATTTCCATTAAATAAAAAAAGCTTGAAATTGAAAAACACATACGATTTATAAAATTGGGAACATTTTTTGCCTCGAAATCCTGAATCTGTCAGGGGGTGGCGAATGTCCCCCCGCCACCCCCCTGTATCCGCCCCTGGTTACTAGCTGAAGTACATGTTGAAAATAAAATCCAATTTTGAAGAAAAAAGCTAATATTTTATGCAGCGTACCCATGGGTTTCCAAAAAAATTGATCCAGCTGTTTGGCCATAAACATATACATAAATATATATATTTATATGAGCGAAGAGCTTCATTATATAGATAACTCTTATTATATAACTCTATCTAGCACCGTGGACAAACTATTTGATTTCTTCAATTTGAATTCAATCGAAGCCTCCTGATCCATAAATCAACAATCTTTAAACTTACTTTTTAATTGTATAAACGCATCCGCGGACAAGAAAAGTATAAAAGAGAAAAAGCTAAAAATGTGAAATATTTTAAATTGTGATCGAAAGTCGCAGCTTGCTGGAACAAGGGCCGAACTTTCAAATCTATGGCCCTATAACATTAATAGAAAAGGAAAAATGTGTAGATACAATCTGATATAAGTTTAATAGTTGTTCATCGCACTATCTGTAGGATAGCATTAAAATGAAGTGTACGCGAAAAACGATAAACCATAATTAAATCATGAGCCAAAATCTATTTTATATCTAATAAACTTCTGTTTTATTGCTAGCCGACATTTTTGCAAAAAAAAGTTTGGTATGATTCGTTTTCTACTGACCGTAATCATCTTTTACACATATTTTATATCTGAAATAAAAGTTAAAAGATTTTTTTTTTCTAAATACTGCATTGCTGAACTTGAATTTAAAGTTTTATAATCCTTGAAATATGTTTTTTGTAGCGCTTAACATGTACATTTTAAAACTTCAAAGCACTTGTTTTTTGGTTAAGTTTTAAGATGTATAATTGGCAAAATTCTCATGTTTTGCCACCTTTGGATCACAGTGTGTCAAATTAAATACAAAGAAAATAGACATTTGGGAAGTATGTTTTACATTGCATATTTTATATTATAATTTAATCTACATTTAACATCAAAGTCATGTGTCTAGCTAGCTGGTAAAATTGGTATTCTAAAGGGGAGGAGGGGGGGGGGGCAAACAAACTGATTGAGGGGCGTAGTAAAAAGGACCCCCCCACCCCTCCCTAGTGAGCTAATCTGGCTGAGTCAATGACACCACTCAAGTATTTTTTTTTCTGTATTCTCCGAGTGGAAAATAAGTTTTACTACGAGGTTTGGTGGTTTTCAAGTTTCTAGAATTTGTGTCTTGAAATGTCAATAACGAGTCAGTCGAGTGGACTAACATTGGTCCTCATACACTCAAGCCTTGCACATACACACACACTCATCCTCACATACACATTAATATTATCATTTAGACCGTTACCAGGGGCGTATCTAGGGGGGAATATGGGGGCTTAAACCCCCTCCCCCTGTGGAAAAGTGGTGGTTGTGATTTTCAGTATATAGTTATATGCATCTTTTAACATGTTGCCCACCCCCCGGCCCCCAGGAAAAACTCCTATATAGTATATTGTTGTATGTATTGTATTTGTATAATGTATACATTCTACGAACACAATTACATCATTACATGCACACAATTACTCAGCGACAGACACACAAAAACGACCTTACATCAAGGCTCACACAAACTTTGTCATTCAATTGTAATTGTCTTATATGCTATAGACAGATGTATTTACATATTGAACATTAATTGGGTGATTTTCCATGATTTTGCATCAAAAATAAAATCTTTTTTTTAATGAAATAAATTTTTATTAAATAAAAATTTTACCCTAAAACTTTTTCTAAATAAGTTCATTGATTTTTTACTGAATTTCAACATATATTCTCAGAAGTGTTTATTACAAAGATAAATCAATTAGCCAAAAAATGGCTATAATTTAATTTTTTTGTATCTTCAAAATAGTCAAAAGTTTCCAATATTTTTAATTGAAAACTGAAAAAAAGTGGAAAAGGGGGGATACCTGTCATCTTGACCCCCTTGGCTTTGGGCTTGGTTGGATGGGGGGTGGGGGTGTTCGACTCAATTGTTTTCAATTTCAAAATTTTTAAGATTATAATTATATATAAAAAACAAAATTGTCCAGAAATAGAAACTCAAATCACTAATCTAAATAGTGTCAAATATGTCAACACTAACGCTAGTGAATAATCAAATTATTGTTATTGTGAATTCTTTTAGTAAAGCCATTGTAATTTGGTCTAAGTTACTATAAATAAACCCGCTGAGGACAGATGATACTATAGAACTATAAGAAAAGAGACTCAATAAATATTTATAATATAAAATTCCTTCACCGTTTCACGACGCTCGAATTATAACACAATGAATCACGAAACAAATACTTTATTTAATAATGTACAATACTGCATTTAGGAAAATTTTAAACCCTACAGGTTGATTGATTGATTATCTTAATTTATACACTTATATACAGCTGAATGACTAGTAACTCTCAGCCAAGCTACAATTGAACAGGGTGGACCGCGCCAACAATTAATCCTTCAACTCCTGAATGGATACAATTATCAAAATATGATTTTTAAGGATTACTAGAAGATTTTGAAGGTTTACTGATGATGTTCGATATTTAGCATCATTAGAGAATGCAAAAGAAATTATCTAATCTATCGAACACAACAGATCTGGATTTGTACTTTCTCAAGGGATTAACTTTACAAAAGTTTTACAAAAGTTCTGACTTGGAGCCGTGCTGCTACATATGGTCTATGATGCATTTTTCTCTAAGTGTGTTTAATTACTTGTATAGGTACAAAACATAAATCTTATCTTAAAAAAATAAGTTTATTTCGATGTATAGGTCGTAACTATAGTTGCACCACTGGTAAGAATGGTTTAATGATTCATTTTTTTTAACCCAAATACCCATGTAAATCAATTGACGGGTTATTGAGTTAGAATTAATTAACTTATGCAATATTATTTCTTTGCTTATACAAAAAGTGTACATCCGACCTAAAAACAAGCGTCCATCCGACCTACAAAAGTGTATATATGACCTAAAATAAGCCTACATCCGACCTATACAAAAGGTGTACATCCTTTCTACGAAAAGTGTACATCCGATCTACAAAAAGTATGCATCCAACCTAAAATAAAGTGTTCATCCGACCTACAAAAAGTGTACATCCGACCTACAAAAAGTGTATGTCTGACCTACAAAAAGTGTGCATCAAACATGTGCATTCTATCTACAAAAGTCTACATCCCAGCTACAAAAAGTGTCCATCTGACCTAAAAAAAGTGTACATCCGACCTACAAAACATGTACACATTTGAAAATTGCACATCTGACCTACAAAAAGTATGCATCCCAAATTAAAGAAAGTGTCCATCTGACCTAATAAAGTGTCCATCTGACCTACAAAAAGTGTCCACCAACCTACAAAAAGTGTGCATCCGGCAGGTGTCGGTTACATATCAGGATGGATCAGGTGAGTGATTGATTGAGATATTATCTTAAATTTTTGCTCAGGCTTCGACTCCACTTTGACGGATACAGTGATAGCCATGATTTCTGGGAGAATGCTGATAGTGAAAACCTGTTCCCGGCAACATGGTGTTCAAGGAACAATCAGAAACTCACTCCTCCGAAAGGTAAAGGAACATGGTGCTCAAGGAACATCAGAAACTCACTCCTCCGAAAGGTAAATGAACATGGTGCTCAAGGAACCTTCAGAAACTCACTCCTCCGAAAGGTAAAGGAACATAGTGCTCAAGGAACCATCAGAAACTCACTTCTCCGAAAGGTAAATGAACATAGTGCTCAAGGAACCATCAGAAACTCACTCCTCCGAAAGGTAAGGGAACATGGTGCTCAAGGAACCATCAGAGACTTAATCCTTCGAAAGGTAAAGGAACATGATGCTCAAGGAACCCTCAGAAACTCACTCCTCCTAAAGATAAAGTAACATGGTGCTCAAGGAACCATTAGAAACTTACTCCTCCGAAAGGTAAAGGAACATGGTGCTCTAGAAACCATCAGAAACTTACTCTTCATATAGATATTCAACCTAAACCATCACATTTTTATTGATCTTCTGAATTGTAGGATATGGGAAGACTGTATTCTGCTGGGACACTTATCTCAGAATAACGAAGAGTATTGCTGCGCCAGAAGAGCTGTTCTTTGGTCGTTCAAGAGCAGCTGTAGGAGCAGATTCAGCTGTTCATGGTTGGAAGGTACATGCGTTTATTTGTACAAGACATAATAGAGGTTTAAAATATATGAGTTTGTTGAACTATCTTACTTTCAAAAGAAGTAGCTGAATCAGTCATCATCTTTAATATATTCATAAATTTAGTAATTTACATCATTTTACAGCTAGTGCAGAAAGTACAAAAATTACAGTAAATTATATTTTAAATATGACAATACAAGTACAATAAAGTACAACTTGAGTACGGTTTCTGACAGTACAGTTTTGATTAATATTAAAAAGGGAAATCTAATAAAAGATAATTTTGAAAATGCAAAAACTGCCTAGTTTTTACACGCTAGGTTCTCCTTCGTGGAAATGATTTTGGAAGTTTTGAGAGAAAATATGAAAAATCGGAAATAAAATGACATGATTTTCCCCTCTTTTTATTTTTCTCCGAGAATGATTTTTCTCACTAAAGAAAAGAAACCATAAATTTTGGCACTCTGCTTAAAATGTTCTTAATTAACTTTTTTTAAGAGGCGGGGGAAATTATGTTTTAATAAGATTTAGTATATAACCCTGAAGATGTAGGTAATGGTATAATTAAACAACAGTTTTGAAAAGTCATTAAAATATATTTTTAGATCGGGATGAAGCTTGAAGCTTGTGATAGGCAGAATAAATCACTGGTCTGTGTGGCAACTGTTGGGAACGTTATGGAGGTATGAAACGTTAGGGGTATATGTTGTTACTCCCCCCCCCCCTTTTNGGGGAGGGAGAACTCAAAATTTGACCAAACTTTGAAGAGAAATTGATAAAAGTGTGTAAGTAGAGAAAGAGACTAAAAAAGAAGGGTTGGAAAATATGTTAAACCTGAAATAGGGAGAGAAATTTAAATCAGTTCGGATTTTCTTCCCTAAAACTAATCTAGAAAATCAAAAAAGGGAAAATAAATATTTTTAGTTTAGTTTGAAAGTTTCTTAAGAATTAAAAGAGGGAAAAGGATTTAGTTTAGATCGAATTCTCTTCCCCACAAGCTTCCTGAAAAGTCAGCTCAAAAGTCAGCTTGAATTTTCATCATGCCCTACAAAATTTTTTTTAATTCGCATGATGCTTATTTGATTAAATAGACTCTAAACCAAGTTTGATGCGATGTAATGACAAAGGGAAGAAGTTCTCATTACAACAATGTCAACAATAAACCTGTATAGATCAAAAACAACTGGAATAAATACAGAAACTCAAGAGCTGATATTGAAATACTACAACTTGCCTGATCAGCTCTCAAAATTGCATATTAACCATCCTGGGGGGGGGGGGGGGGGGGGGGAGGCAAGGCTCAATTAGAATTTATCCCCTCTTCTGTTAATCTCTATATTTTCTGTTCAGATGATGGTAATTATGAATCAGGGGACTGAGGAGTCTTCAAATGCTAGAGGTAGTCAAACTATTATAATTTTTATCTAATTTTATAGAAATTTGAATTCTTTTTAACTCATTGTGCCTGACATGAAGATGGGCTCTGATGATTTTTGGGGATATACATCCCAAGAGTTCAGGGGTGTACATTTTCTTGATGGTTATGCTTGCGCGTAGTGGACTCTTTTTTTAATTGTTTTTATCTTTTGAGTTAGAGGAAATAAATGATATTTAGAGTAAAATAATAAAGAAATGAATTATTGTCATGAAAATAGGATGAAAAACTTACCTCTAGAGTCCAAATGTCCAATTTTTTTTAGTTTTTCTTGAAAATATTTACCCTACTAGATTTTGAAGTCTTACTTTGTGCAGGTGAAACTGAACCTAAAGATGAACTGCACTGCTCTTCCAACACTCTGGGGAATCCAGGAGGAAATAATGTTCCACATCAACTTGAGAAAAATATACCTGAAAACCTGGAGAATCTTGACAATTATAAAGAAAAAGCAGAAACTTCTTTGGCGAATAAAGTCCCAAGCCAAAATTCACAAAATTCTCTTAAAGCAAAGTTTCCAGGTCTTGATTCGATTGTACCTGATGTTTCTAACTTAGAATCACAGTCATTCGTTGTTTCTCCTAACCCTGCTTCTGATCCTATAAAAACAATTCCAATCGCAGAAATAGGGTTAACCCAGCTGCCTGGCGTCCGACTACCTGTTATTCACACAACCCCTGCTGTTGGTCAGTTTCAAGTTCTTCAACCCCAAGGAGTTCCTAGAACCGGACTTCCCCAAACTGTCATTGGGGGTCAAGTTTTTTCAACTGTAACCCAAGTAACCCGGGCAGGGAGCTCTGTTCCAATTTCGGGATGGCCAATTCCTACAGTAGGTATAAGTCCTACTGTAGCCGTCTCTACCAGTCAACTTGTTGTAGGCCGGAAGACGTTAGCCTTGAATAGCCAACAAGTACTCGGAAGTACCCTAGTTGGTTCTGGTAGTCCGCTACTTCTAGGAAATACTCCAGGAGTTTTCTCCAGTCAACAGCTTGTCATTGGAAGAACAGTAGGTAGGCCTTCTGTTCATCTTTTGGCGGGGAAAACGGGGGGTGTAACTGCAGGTCAACTTATCGTAGGGAACACTGGCGCAGAAACTGCAGGTCAACTTGCAGTAGGGAATACATGCGGTGTACCTGCTGGTCAACTTGTAGTAGGGAACACTAGCATAGTCACTGAAGGTCAGCTTGTAGTAGGGAACACTGCTGTAACAGCTGGGCAACTCACAGTTAACAGTAGTCCTGGAATACCTGGAAGTCAACAGCTAGCTGGAAGTAAACTGGGAGCTCCAGTTCAGATTCCCATGGTGCTTCCGATAGTCACCACTACAATTAGTGCTACAAAGGTTCATTAAATTTTTAAAAATCTAATTTCAAGGATTTTTGGTTAAATACCAAGGTTGATTATAAACACTTTTTATGTAGGGAGTTCAGCTTCCTTTAGCGATGACAGGGTCGACAATCGTTAACAATCAAATGTTAGTTTTACCCCCCTCTGTAATGCAAATTCAACAGGTAAGAAAAACTGCGCCAAAATGTTGCGTAGGAAAAAAATAACAAGCACAACATTTTCGTGAAATAATCGAGTATTTTTTAGAATCCCCCCAGTTCGGTGCAAGGTCAGAGGAAAAGTATAGTTTTGAAGAAACCAATATCTACTCCTCATCTTCCCGTCTCAAGTCAAATTATAGGCAAAATTCCTCCAAGTGTTATTCGGGTTTCTGCTCTCAAAAAACCAAACCAAGTTTTTCATGTTCAAACTGATCCACAACCTGCTTCCGAGGGAAACGCTTTTAAGGTTAAGAACGAAGATGTTACTGTCACTGATTCATTAAGAGTTTCAGATCAGCATAAAATCCAATCTGAAATTGAAGAAGCTGGAAATCCATCTCAGCTAACCGTAGACGAAAGTTCATCTCCGACTGAGTTGAGTAAAAATGACACTTTTCAAGCCGCAGAACAAGAAAGCAACCCTTCACAAGCTTTCGAAGAAGAACCTTCTAATAGACAGCCTGTAGCAAGACAACTTGATCTAGATGAATCTCAGGATATATCTGATATGTCCCTGGAATGTGATGAGGAGTTTGATGACAGCTTTGAGAAGAAAGAGAATGAAAAAGAAGTGGATGATGACGAGAGTCTTGAAGAGCTGAATAACGAAGTTGAAGAGCTGAATAACGACGTTGAAGAGCAAAGTGACGAGGAAGAAGAAGTACACAAAGCGGAAACTAACAATGGTAGTAATGGAGGAATAGACACGGTTGATCTGCTGAAACCTCTACCTGGAACTATACCTGGACCTGCTAAAGTTGAAGTAAAAACTAATGAATTTGGAATAATGGAGGTTGTGGATCCAAGCATTATGCAACCAATTCGTAAGGTAAAATATAACTCTTTAAAATTAGCCATTACATTTTATAATTTCTACATTTTAGGTGGAAGAATTATCTAAACCTACGAACCTTCTTCATTCCCCCAACTCTAGAAAAGAGTCAATGGCAAGAAGGATACAGGTCACAATCATTTGATATTTTCATTTTACAAGTTTTGACTCAATCCTGATTTCTTGAAACACTATCTATCATCTTTCCCCCTTCTTTCTTTTAACACACAAACGGGATTTTTCATATAAAAAGTGTTCCATCAAATATATTATTATTTGTAAGATATTTCATTGAATGTTAGTTCCTATATTTCCTTAAAAGGTAGGTCTGCATTACATTTTATGATCATTTTTTCACAGTTAGTTCGTCTATAATTTTTTAACCTAACCTAACTCAATTTTATTTGTCTGAACCCCTTTGCCCAATACTGTGCATAAATGAAGAGAGGGGGGGGGGGTGTTCATATATTTTAAAAATAAATCCTAAATTGTTTTAGGACGATGAGATCTTGTATTGTGAGGGATGTGGTTGCTATGGTATGGCAGGAGAATTTGTTGCTCAGAATAGTTGCAGCAATACCTGCAATAATCTTATTCAATCCAGGTCACAGATTTTTTTTCAAATTTTCAAATGACCTCCCATTAAGAGATGGGCAATAGGCATGCCCAATTTACAATGATACCCTTAAAACCTTTATCTAATAAACAATGCTAAAAATATCCTTGTTTTTCTAGCTGACAATTTTCTTTTAAGTAGAAATGCGTAAGTCACTTTACAAAAAATCATAACGGAAAATAATAATTTTTTCTAAAAGAACATGAAATATAAATCTCTGTTAGCTCATGAAATGAAATGGGTAGATTTTTAGTTTAGTTTATTAAAGGTGAATTTACTCAGTTTTTGAATAAAGTAATCACAGGATCTGAATAACATCATGAAGATTAAAAAATTTTAAGTTGAATAATTAACGTGAATGAATGAATGTTTTAAAAAGGGTTCGTCCTGAGATTACAACCGATGAATTTAAGAAGTAACGGAACGAATTTTATTCTCTAGGTCTAGGGATAAACAGAGAAGGGAGCGGGAACTCCAGGTTATAAGAATGAGAAGAGATGAGAAGAGAGTTCCACCGCAGAAGGTACTAACCAAATTAACCGAACCTGAGTTTTGATTTAAAGGATTGGCCCTGACCAAATTTTATCAGATTTCTAATTTTAAGAAAAGGTGAAAATTTAATTTCACATGTACGGGTGTAATGTAAACTTTTAAGATATAGAATCACGAGATATTTTTAAATAATAAAAAAGTTGCTCAAGAATGATAAAGTCCAAATATACTGCTAGTGTTTTTCTTAGTCTCTTTAGTCTATATACTTACATCAAGTTCAAGTTAAACCAACCAGGAAAGGAGCAGTAGATACACTCTCAAGTGATCCTCAATGTTTAGAAGAGTATAGTAGCACAATTAACCCGTATTCTGAGAAAAGGAAAATATCGTCGTTTTTTATCTACTGACGATTTTCTTCACTTTTTACAACTGCTTTAATGCGCAATTTACTTAAATAGAAGACCGCGAATGAAAATATTCGATTTTAAGATAAGGAAATTGACATACCTTCATCAATTTTTACTCAGGCATATAGGTTTAAAGGGCACCGCTGAGAATCAGACATCATTCCATATTCCATGAGCAAAAAAAAATATTTTCTGTGTCTTACAGTATTTTATGGTTTCATTGGCTATGGATGACCACTCCCTTTAAAAATGTTTGTACAGGGAAAGAGAAAAGGATTGCCTGCGCCGTCAACGGAGGAGGAGATGAACAACTGGAAGAGCTCCCAGTACAACACCGTCTACGCCTGGCAGGATCCTAAAAAGGGGTTCATCTGGTCTAAATATCTTGGTAATATGTTTATCTGATCTAAATATCTTGTTCATTCATCTTCTTCTCATTCTCCTTTCAAACGTTTTGATCAATTATATTGATCAGTCATAATTATTCTTTGTGTAGATTATTGCGGAGCCCGAGCAGCCCCGGTTCGACTGTTCCCTGGAGAACCCTTTCCTGATCCGCATGCTTTCAGGAAAATCATCATTTTTAAGACTTAATATTATAAAATAAACAAAGATTTTAGAAAATCTTTACAGGACACATTTAAACTTTTAGAAAATGTAATTTTTATCGACAATATCAAACATTTTAAAGTTTTTAGTGTATTTTAATTATTTTTAAGGGTCAAAACGGGAAAAAAATATTTTATGTATTATTTCAGGGTTAGGGTTAGTAAAGACAATTTCTGAGCCGAGCGCTGCGGCTTGGACAGGCTAGGGGGCCGAGCGCTGTGCTAGTAGTTCAAATGAATATAAAACATACCATAAAAATATGTATTATTTAAGAGTTAGGTTAGGTTAAGACAGTTTCTGGGTCGAGCGCTGCGGCTAGGACCGGCTAGGGGGCCAAGCGCTGCTTCTACTAGTTCTAATGAACATAAAAATAGTTCAAATTAACCAAAAATAGTCTAAATGAAATTTTGCCCGTTTGTCGCACTTTTTGACCTTATGTCGTTTTATCCTTTGTCTTTTTACCCTTTGTCGCGTTCTTGACCGTTTATAGTTTGCCCCTAGGTCGTTTTACCCTACGTCGTTTGACCCTTTGTCGCGTTCTTGTCCTTTTGTCGTTTGCCCCTAGGTCGTTTTACCCTATGGCATTTGACCCTAGGTAGTTCTCTTTTTATTTTTTAAATGTTCTTGTTCTGAGATTTCCGCCAATTAAATTTTTTTTAAATAACACAAATTTAAAATATTTTTTGGATGTCAGGGAAGGGATGAAGTTAGAGGCAATAGATCCTCTTCATCAATCTGTTATATGTGTTGTCTCAATATCAGAGGTTCAGGGACCCAGGTACAATTATTGAATGATTGAATTAATTGATTGGGTATTTGATTTGTTGATTGAATATTTGGTTAAATAATAGATTGATTGAGTGAGGCATGGCTCAAATTTGGTCATGTGGCAAGGAACTTCGCGCCTTTCAGTAAACGGTTGTTGTAACTTCTTCCTAAATATAAAAAGAAGTCCAGGCTGAAAAACCAGGACACGGAAAGGACTTGAACCTCCAATCCACTACTGGAGCCCATTGTCATCCCCGCCCCTTGTGATTTGATTTGATTTTGTATATGAGAAATTGCCCCATTATGTTTTTAATTACTAAGATTACTAATTTTAGCAGTTAAGTTGAGCAAATTATAGACCTATCATGGCTATGCTGCGCGATCTTTAACATAAGTCTGAAATTAGCTTTTCTTTAAA